AATTTCCCTTTTCTCTCCCTTTCCCTCCCATCTCATGATCTTTCTCTCTCTCTCTCTCTCTCTCTCTCTCTCTCTTTCTTTCTTTCTTTCTTTCTTTCTCTCTCTTTCTTTCTTTCTCTCTTTCTCTCTCTTTCTTTCTTTCTCTCCTTATTTCTTTCTGTCTCTTTCTCTCTTTCTTTCTTTCTCTCTTTCTCTCTCTCTCTTTCTCTCTCTTTCTTTCTCTCTCTTTCTTTCTCTTTCTCTCTCTCTCTCTCTCTCTCTCTCTTTCTTTCATCTACCAGGGATTGAACTCAGGGGCACTTAACCACTGAGCCACACCCCTAGCCCTATTTGGTATTTTATTTAGAGACAGGGTCTCACCGAGTTGCTTAGCGCTTTGGTAAAATGCTGAGGCTGGCTTTGAACTTGCAGACCTCCTGCCTCAGCCTCCCAAGCTGCTGGGATTACAGGTGTGTGCCATTGCCTGCCTCTTTCTTTTTGTAGTAAGATAAAAATGCCATTTTCCCCCCACTTTTTTTTTCTAGCTTCTTATTTTTCCCTTCTCTGAAGTCCTGTATGCTATTATATAGTTTAGTATTTAAGTATTTCCCAGTTCTTTGATGTTTTTGTGTCTTGAAGTTAGGAGTGTGTATCCCAGTTCTTTATATTTGTTCTGGACTGGGAAAATCCTCTGATGCCTGTTGGAGATTCATATGCTGTCCTTTACAGTGCCCTTTCTCAATACACAGATCCACCCAATGTTTATCACATTTCTTGACTTTTACTTCTGTGGAATTATAGATGTCTTATTAATGTTGTTAGCATGTTTTATATTTAGAAATTATTTCCCCTATTGGGACACATTCAAAGTTGACAGAGGTTTGAGGGTGACAGGAATATCTTCCAAAGTGTAAATACGCTCGCTACTCAGTCAGTTGCTTACTGAGTGACAGTCTTATGTAAACACTGTCCTAGGCAGTGAGGTATAAAAAAAACATAAAATCCTAGAAGGTTGAGCTGCGGTTGTAGCTCAGTGGTAGAGCACTTGCCTAGTGTGTGTTTGATCCTCAGCACCACATAAAAATAAACAAAGGTATTGTGTCCATCTGCAACTAAAACTATTAAAAAAAAAAAAAAAAGCCTAGAGGATTGGAAAGGAGACCCTGATGRGTCTTTATGCTAGTGGAGGTGCTTCCATGCTGTTCTTCTGGATTTAAGTTATCAGTCACTTTTTAAGGAAATGAGTTGAGACCAGAGGGTTAGATTGCAACCTGAGTCTAAACGACTAAACTGACTTGTCCGATGTATTTGTTTAGAATCACAAATTTCAAAGGTGAAAGTGGCCTTAGGAGAGGTCATGGACCCTCTGCTCCCCATTGTTATTTTGTCATTGTTGAAGGATAGCTGCCCAGTTTTTGCTTTAATACCGCTGGGGAGAAGAAATTTTCTGCTTTCTGAGATGGACAGTTAATTTTTATTCAGCTGTTTGAAGACAACTCTCACTAAATCCYGAGGTTTCTCTTGTTTAAGCAAAACATCTCTGTCTCCTTCAACCACAGTTTAGTGACAYTGAGCACTCAGTGTGGCACTGCAGGTGCAATCTGACCGATATACAGAAAAATGGGATTTRATTTAGATGTTAAACTCTGGTTTTACCGCCTAAGGTTACCTTGGGTTTCTACTTAATTGGGTTGGGGCTCCCAAGACCACTCCCAGGTTTAATGGCTCTGAGGGAGGACTCACAGGACTCAGCATGAAGTGCTCATGGCTGTGATTTATTACACTGAAAGGACACAAAATCGGCAAATGGAAAAGGCCGTGGTGTGAAGTCTGCAGGGAGCCAGGCACAAGCTTCCAGGGTTCCTTTCCCAGGATGTGCTTAATTTTTCTAGCACCAAGCTGTGACAACACATGTGAAGTGTCGTCTACCTGGGAAGCTCATTACAGGCTTGTGCCCAGGGTTTTTATTGGGGCTGGTCACGTAGGCACGCTGTCTGACACATATCAAAATTCCAGGCTCCCAAAGCACGGTTCTCATAAATCATGTTGTTGGGTATAAACAGTGAGCCACTTGTATCGGGATGGTGGGAACCCTTCATTGATCTAAGTTCCCAGATGCCAGCCCGGAGCCAGCCTTGTGAGCCTGCCTGTGTAAGGAGAGTGATCTCAGGCCTGCTGTCTTACTCTTTTCCTCAGTAACCAGTTCACATTATTAACTCTTCTGAAACATGCATTGACTTTTCTGTGGGTACTTACTTATTTACTTTTTTTTTTTTAAATAGTTTTTATTTTTAAAATAAAAATTATTTTAAAATAAAAATATTTTAAATTTTAAAATAAAAATAAAAGCACAGCAAAAAACAAAGTCATACAGTTCCCAAGCAGCTTAGTAGGATGTGTTCCTCCAGGTTGTGTGTGTACATACATACACAACAACCCATTTTGTGTGTCTGAGATCATAGTATGTATCATGCTTTTCCACACATCATGAATATTCATAGTATGTATCATGCCTTTCCACACATCATGAATATTCAAAATCCCAAAGCTATATGAAAAAAATAATACACTATAACAAATACAAAAAAACAAGAATACACTATACCAATTCAGTCTGTTTAAAAAATTGTAATCCTTTCTTGGTGGCTTAATTATTTACTCTTTTTTTTTTCCAGTTGTAGATGGACATGACACCTTTATTTTTATTTATTTATTTTTATGTGGTGCTGAGGATCGAACCCAGTGCCTTGCACATGCTAGGCAAGTGCTCTACCACTGAGCCACAACCCCAGCCCAATTATTTACTCTTTTTGGTTTTGGTACTGGGGATTGAACTCAGGGGCACTTGACCACTGAGCCACATCCCCAGCCCTATTTTTTTGTATTTTATTTAGAGACACTGTCTCACTGAGTTGCTTAGCGCCTTGATTTTGCTAAGGCTGGCTTTGAACTCACGATCCTCCTGCCTCAACCTCCCGAGTTGCTGGGAATTTATTTACTTTTGATTACTGTTAAAATAGATATTACCATCCTGATTTTCAGAATTATAGGGAATGCAGTATGGCTTGGTTGGATGTAGAAATGTGAAGTTCTGACCAAGCCTATTCACCTTCCCTCATGAGGAGCTATGTGCACTTCCAATTCCTTTCTTTACACTTTACATGTAATAGGTAAAAAAGTATAGGGGCTGGGGCTAGGGCTCAGTGATACAGCACTCGCCTAATTTCTAATATTTTAGATATATAATATATTAGATATATAATTTCTAATATATTAGATAGTTATTTTTTATTTTTTTGCTTTGGTACTGGGGATTGAACCCAGGGGGCACTTACCCCCTGAGCCACTACCCTAACCCTTTTTTGTATTTTGTTTAGAGACAAGGTCTCACTGAATTGCCTAAGGCCTCGCTAAATTGATGAGGTTGGCTTTGAGTATCCTCTTGTCTCATCCTCACGAGCTGCTGGGATTACAGGCATAAGCCTGGCTGTATAATTAATTTTGACAAATAAAAAGATAATCAGAATTTTACTTTTTAAAAAAAATTTTTCCCCCAGTACTGGGGATTGAATCCAGGGATGCTCTACTACTGAACTACATCCCTGGGCTTTTGTTTTGTATTTTGAGACAGGGTCTTGCTGAGTTGCCCAGGCTGACCTCAGACTTGAGGTCCTCAATATTCTGAGTAGATGGGGTTGCAGCAGAGTTCTGTGGCACCGAGCTAAATGTCTGTTTTTATACTTAGTGTCCAGCTTTCTTAATAGGTTTAGTTGTTAGCATTTGAGTGTATAAAATAAATAGATAAAAAGACCTTTCTAAATGCATTTTGAAGTAAGAGCTGGTCTTTAGCAGTTCTTGGTCCTTTGCAAGTGTGCAGTTTTTCACATGTAAACTTACCCTTTTTGCATATATTTTCTTATCCATAGGTAACTGCTGGTTTTAGTGGGGATGGGGATGGGGTTGGGATGGATGTAGGTGGTTATAGGATGTTGAGAGCTATGAGCACCAGCAGATCCTGGCGGGATGTGATTTGTTCTTGTGTTCCTGTAGATCTGGAGCAGCAACCATTTATTTCCCAATACAGAGGAGGCTACTCTTTTCCTTGGAACGCTGGATACTATTTTTCTGTTCTCCTATGCTGTGGTAAGTTTTAGAATTCTGTAGGTTTTTTTGTGATGCTGGGGATCCAATCCAGTGCCTTATGCATGCAAGGCAGACCTCTACTACTGTCTCCACTGAGCCACACTCCAACTCTTTTTTTCTGGGCCAGGGGTTGAACCTAGGTGCACTTAACCACTGAGCCACAAGCTCAGACTTTTATTTATTTATTTTTTGTGTGTTGCTGGGGATTGAACCCATGGCCTTGAACATGTGAGATGAGCTCTCTACCAGCTGAGCTATATTCCCAGCCCAAGCCTAGCCCTTTTTATTTTACAGGGTCTCACTAAGTTGCTTAGGGCCTTGCTAAGCTGCTGAGTCTGGTCTTGAACTTGTTAATAATCCTGCTTCAGCTTCCTGAGTTGCTGAGATTACAGGTGTGCGCCACTATGCCTGGCCATACTCCAAGTCTTAATGATCAGTTTTCTTTTTTGTTACTAAGGATTAGTGCCCTAACACTGAGCTACATCCCCAGCCTTTTTAATATTTTAGTTTGAGACAGTCTCACTAAGTTGCCAGGGCTGGCCTTAAACTTTTTGATCCTCCTGTCTCAGCCTCTGGAGTTGCTGGGATTATGGGCACGTGACTGACTCGTTTTTTTTTGAGCTGCATTTCCTTCTGTAACTTCCAGGCATTTTGCTTTCTGGAACAACACAGAGAAGATTGATTCTCTTATCTGAAAGAGAATTGAGAGATTTTCCTCATCCCCTCTGTCACATATAGTACAGATTGTTAAGAGGCCTCTGCAGATCATCACATCTGCTTCAGTGGTGGTGTGCCCTCTTTTGGGGAAGCGAAGACCTGGCTATATTAAGGGGAGAAGCATTTATTATGATGTTTGTCATCTAAATTTTCTCTTATTTAGATAGTCACCTTATTAGAAATGTTTAATTTGGATGATAATGAGGTCAAGAAATTTATTTGTATGTATTTATGGAGGAAACCTAATGTGTGTAGCCCTGGTCTTCAGTCTCTTTTCTTGGCCTTATCTCAGCATTTTAATTCTGCCACACAGTGGGAGGAGATCATACCTCTCTTCACCTAATTGTCATATCTGCCTCCCTCCCCTCCCTGCCTTGTAATGCTGTGAAGCCCAGGGGCAGATTAAACAGGAAGCCAGTGAGCCCTGCAGGCTTCTGTCCCCTTTCTTAGGAGGATGTGGCCAAAACTGCAGGGTGTGTGGGGACATGTCGGAGAGTAAATGCTAAGGGAAATGGTGGGAAAGCTGAGTGGTGTTGAAGGATTAATATCTCTAGAAGGTGAAATTACTGGAGTGTTTGTTTTATCAGAATTCTCACTCGTTTGTGTCTGTTAGGGAATCAAGAATAACGCGGTCTCCCTGAATAAGGGGGTCGTGGTGTCTAAGATCTGCAGTGTAGTGTTGTTTCCTGAAACATTGTGATGCCCAAAGCCAGCTAGTCTAGGCATGTGAATTAGGTTTGATTTAAATCCCCGAGTTTCGTTTGCCTCTTTTGCCTTGCAATGCATGTTACCTCTTTTAGACTGTGTTACTATTTAGGACTATAAAATGAAATGCTTTGTTTTTAGGGTCTTTTCATCAGTGGCATCGTTGGGGATCGGCTGAATTTACGATGGGTTCTCTCTTTTGGCATGTGCTCCTCTGCATTAGTGGTAAGCTGGAAAGATTTTATGATTATAGTAATAATCATTTTATTTTGGTCAGATTTAGACTCCAAGTGACGCCCTACTTCTCGAGGTAGGGTAGAACAGTGAGTTTATTCTTCAGTGTCCTGATCCCTTGCATGCCTGTCTCTTAGGTAGATCTTTTTAACGTGGGATTCTGATGAGGTCCTTCCTTGACCCTCATTAGAAGTTTCATAACAGCATGTGTTAGTTGATTGGTCCCAGTTCCGGTCCAATCCTATTTGTCACTCTGCTTCACCTTTTGCTGTAACCACACCAAGCTACTTTCCAAGCCCTGGACCTGTCCTGCTTTTTTCTACCTTGGTGCTTTTGTCCCTGCTCTTCTTCCCTCCTTGAGTGGCACTCTTCAGCTCTCTGTGGTCTGCCCCAGCATCTCCTTCAAGTCCTTGGCCACATGACCCTTCTGTCAGAACGCCTGACTTGATGGGCTCCGCTCCTGAAAGTAACATTCATCTCTCCTCTAAGCTTCTGTGCCTGTGTTTCTTTGCAGTCACTTGTAATCTTCTGCTGCTTAGCCTGGTTATTTCTGTTTGGGTCTTGCTTACCCTGGGAGTGGGTGGCACTAGGGTTAAGACCACAGATTTCATAGGTCAGGAGGCCTCGGTTTCCATCCTGTCTGCAGTTTCCTAGCTCATGCTCTCTGCATTTGAAAAGAGGCTTCAGTTTCTTCATTTGGAAAGGGATGTGTGTGCCCCCGCTCCTGGGTTACACTGAGGTGGGTGTGAGTGCACAGCCTTTGGAACGGTGCCTGGCACGTTAGGTGCTGTGAAAGGCAGCGTCCAGATCAGATCCATCTTTATTGCTTACTAGCATCTGTTAAGGAGTTCATGGTTTGATTTGAAACCACAGAGTTTAGTTAGACCCTAATTTATTATTGTTTTCAATGACCACCTTTTGAGTCCAGGGAAAAACTTGTTTCCTTGAAATTTTAGGAACTTATTTATCTATTCAAAAGCTGCTCTCCCACACATACTTAAACCTGTATATATATATATTTTTCGGTACTGGGGATTGAACTCAGGGGCACTCGACCACTGAGCCACATCCTCAGCCCTATTTTTTTTTGTTGTTGTTGTTGTAGGTGGACACAATACCTTTATTTTATTTATTTATTTTTATATGGTGCTGAAGATCAAACCCAGTGCCTCACACATGCTAGGCAAGCGCTCTACCATGAGCCCCCTATTTTGTATTTTATTTAGAGACAGGGTCTCACTGAGTTGCTTAGCACCTCATCATTGCTGAGGCTGGTTTTGAACTCCTGCCTCAGCCTCCTGAGCTGCTGGGATTATAGGTATGTGTCACTGTGCCCGGCTTAAACCTGTACATACTTTTAAACCTGTACATATGCTTCTAAAAATACTTTTTGAAATTTAGTTTCATACATAAACTCACCATTTTAGCATATAGTTCTGAGTGCCCACAAGTAGGGTAGCATAAACTACCCCATGCTCTCCCCAGCTCCTGGCAACTGCAGACTGTTTTTCAGTCCTTATAGTTCTGCTTATTCCAGAATGTCTCATAACTGGAACTTGACAGTATTCTACATACTATTTTGTAACCCATGCCAAGTATTCTCAAAATAGATTTTGACTGCAAATAAAATATCCCCTTGAGCCAGATGCCTAGAAAAAAGCAGCCACTCAATGGAACCTACTAAATGACTCAGCAGATGACAAGTCAGGCAGGTTTCTCATACGCAGGTGAGCTGGGTAGCTGTAGTCCCGACAGACTTGCCCGGGACTTTACCCAGACTTTAACTACACACATACACGCAGGGCTTGTTCAGTTCTGCAGCCCTCCCTCCACCACACAGGCCTAAGGAAGCAGTGGAGGGAGATGTAAAATGAGGTGAAAAATGAGGCCTTCACTTTTAAGAGTGGAAGATGCCAGTTAGAAAGATGATACTGATTTGATCATTTGACGCCTTTGCCTTTCTGGTGATCCCATGGTTACTTTCTTGGTGCCAGCTCTGAGCCACCCTGTTYGCCACACTGTTTTCGGGTGCGAGTTGTTTAAATGTATTCTCGGTGTAGTCTGGTGGCAGTTGGGCATACTCACAGTGTCCACGTGGACGTCACATGTTCCTTTTTCTTTCTTTCAAAGGTGTTTGTCTTTGGCACTCTCACAGAATGGCTGCACTTCTACAACAGATGGCTCTATTGTTGCCTGTGGATTGTGAATGGCCTGCTGCAGTCCACTGGCTGGCCCTGTGTGGTCGCTGTGATGGGCAACTGGTTTGGGAAAAATGGGTATGACTCTTCCTTTCTCTCCCATTACTCAAATGGATTTAATGTTGGATTATTCAGTCTCATCAGAGTCTATTAACTTGATGCCTTAGACACTGTTAGTCAGCTTTCTGTCACCATGACCCAAAACCCGGAAAATAACTCAGAGAAGGGAAGTGTATTATGGCTCCTGGTTTCAGGTGTTTCAGTCCATGGTCACTTGCTTCCATTGTTGCTGGGACTGGGGGGTGTGGGCAGAACATTCTGTGTAGAGCGAAGCTGTTCACCTCATGATGGCTGGGAGGGTGGTGGTGGGTGCCGGGACAAGACACACCCTTCAAGAACACGCCTCCAGTGACCTACGCCTCCTGAGGTTTCCACCACCTCCCGCAGTACCACCAGCTGGGGACCAAGCTTCCCACACACGAGCCCTTGAGGGCCATTCCACATCCAAACTAGAGCCCACTGTTCACATCTTCCTTCTATTTCAGTTCATGTTGAAGTGTATGGAAGATGGTGTGGACCTCAGAGATGGTCTTCGCCAGCACGACACGTTGCTAGCACTGCTGGCCATCTTCAGTTTTGAGTGTGAGCTAAAGCAGTATATCTTGTTTTTGTCTCCCCCCCCCCCCCCCCGGTACAGGGGATTGAACTCCAGGGCACCAACGAGCCACATCCCTAGCTTTCTTTTATTTTGAGACAGGGTCTCCCTAACTTATTGAAACTGGCCTTGAACTTAAGATCCTCCTTCCTCAGCCTCCTGAGTCACTGGGAATACAGATGTGTACCACTGTGTCTGCTTTTTTTTTTTTTTTTTAAACTCATCTTTCCTTTAGAAAACCTTGTCTCACATGACATCCCATCTCTTATCTTCTTTTGAGTTTTGCCTTCTCTGTCCTTTTTTGAGATGCAGTGATCGAGTTTAACTTTCTTACATAAAGAGAAAAAAACTGAGGCTAAAATTTATCCATGTGACTTGCCTAAAGTCACATAGCAGGGACAGTAACAAGATTCAAACGGAGAATGCCAAACTTTGGGGTTTAGATTGGACACTTTTCCCTTAACCCTTCACCTAGTTGTGAGATTACATTTGACTCTGTGTGTGTGATATGGACCACAGGATGAAGATAGGTACCTCCTAATGCATCCTCTGGGCCACCCAGGAAGAAGAGCCGTGCCAGAGTCGTAGGGTGGGAAGTAAGCTGGGATAAGCAGAGACTTGATTCATTATGGATCGTTGCCCTTCTGGAACATTGCTGTTTATCATGTGTTGTCAGCTGCTTATTCACTCGTGTACGGCTCTGTCTTTTCTTGTGTGTGGCTAGTTTCATGAGGACCAGTGTGTGCGACAGACATTGTCGCCCACTGGTGTCGAGTCCATGCTCTGAGTGGCTCCTCTCAGTTTCCCAGCTTTCCCTATTTTATAATGGGAGTCAGCTAGGTCACTTATGCTCTATAATGTTTGGAAAGTTCATCTATAAAACGTCTTGTGGTTAGAATAAATACCATTCCAGAAGGTTCTGATGGTGTTTCCGGGTGCTGGTGATTTCTGTTCTAACTCTGGYGTCACTGGTTTAACACAGTCCCATTGTAAAAGGCGTGGCCCAGGGCCTTCCAGTTTTCTCTTGGAGTAGATGAGAGGGCCTGCTTAGTCTTTTGGCGGGGCAGGGCAGGGCGGGGAGTGCTGGGGAGTGGACCCAAGGGCGCTCTGTCACTGAGCTAGGTCCCCGGCCTTTATGTTGTTCATTTTGAGACAGAGTCTTGCTGAGCTGTCCAGTCTGGCCTTGAATTTGTGATCCTCTTGTCTCAGCCTCTCCAGTTAGTGGGCTGATTTTTTTTTTTCCTATTAAGATTTTAAGGTAATATGTGATTTTTAGAAATTATAAAATGTTACTTTTTATTATTAATCAGAAGATAGAAAGAACAAAGATAGACCAACTGACATACTGTCACTTGAAAGATACTAGCTTTAACTAGTGTCATTTTGAGAGAATTTTAAGCTTTTATAAATCGGCTGACAGAGTGTTTGATACCAGTGCCTGAACAACTGACCACTTCATTATTCTGTGAATCAGTCACAGAAAAGGTGAAGAGAGCTGTTGCAGTTCAACTTTGAGAGGAGCCCGTTTTTTTAACAGGTTGTGCTGGGAGTGGAATCAGTAGTGCCTTACTTAGACTCTGACTTCCTGTGAACTGTCCCAGGAACCCACAAAGCCCTCAAAGACCGGGCAGCTTAAAACAGAGTTATTGTCAGCCAGACTCTTCTACACCGTGTTTTTGGTCAGCCAGTGTTATTTGGATCCTGACTTTCTGACTTTCCCTCCACGACTCTCTTGATGGCCTTTAATATTTTTATACAACTGGGGTATTTTAGAACTGGAGATGAATTGAGAGATTATTCAGGTCAAATCATTTGTTTTCCAGATGAAAAAAGTTGGTGGCCCAGAGAAATTGAGTGATCTGCTGAGGGAGGACATTGGTCCTAATAGTAGCTGTTACTTTGGCTGAATCCTGTTGTTGCTCTGGATCATTAGGGAATGTGGTTTTTTCAAACAATTTTAGACAATAATAATGCCCCTGTCCAGCTCTTTCACCAGGACTGTGTCTTACTGCACCCAGTCCTATGAGGAGCTGCCTTCGTACAAACGAGAGCACGAGTGGTGGCGGGAAGTGGAGGAGCTCAAATTTTCACACTTTGTTTCTCACTATACAGTGTGTGTCATCTCATTTGTTTGTGAAATTGCCTCTGCCTTGGGGAGGTTAGAAAAATATGAAATAGAATAAAGTGCAAATTTGAATGTTAAAAAAAATTAACGTCTTAAATTCTTTTTCTTTCACCTGCCCTACTGCTGTTGTCCATGTTCAGAGCTGGTCATTTCTCTCCGGAACTGACATAATTGCTAATTTCTACTCCACCACCTGGTCCATCTCTTATTTTTTCTCTTGACTCTATTGAGGTCACAACAAGCTGCACATGTGTAAAGTGTACATTTTGAAGAGCTTTGGCCTGTGTGCACCTGTAAGCCATCATCATCATGAAGAAATGCCCCTTAAGAATTCCTCTTTCCTACTGCTCGTGTGCTCATCCTTTTGCTGCCATCTCTAGGCAACCATTGATCTGCTTTCTATCTTTTTAATTTTAATTTCCAAAATTTTATATAAATGGAATCATTCAGTATGTGCTCTTTTTTGATCTGCTTTAATTCAGCACAATTAGAAATTCCTGTTGTAAGTATCAGTAGTTCATTCTTTTTCATAGCTGGGTAGTAGTTCATCATACCACATATGTTTCTCTCTTTAGCTGTTGATGGACATTTGAGTTGTTTTCAGGCTTTGGTACTACAGATGCAGCTACAGTGAACATTTGTGTACAAATCTTTGTGTGGATATATGCCTTCATTTTTCTTGAGTAAATACCAAGAAGTAGAATGGCCAATTTATGAGGTAGTCGGGTTTTATCCTTTTAAGAAACTTGAAATCGGGGCTGGGGATGTGGCTCAAGCGGTAGCGCGCTCGCCTGGCATGCGTGCAGCCCGGGTTCGATCCTCAGCACCACATACAAAAACAAAAGATGTTATGTCCGCCGAGAACTGGAAAATAAATATTTAAAAAATTCTCTCTCTCTCTAAAAAAAAAAAAAAAGAAACTTGAAATCTCTTCCACAGTGGTACCATTTTGCATTCCCACCAGCAGAGTAAAAGAGTTCCTATTTTACCTTCTTGCCAGCATTTGGTTGTTTGTTTCTTGATTTTAGCCGTTCTTAGAAGTATGACAGTGATATCTGATGATTTTAACTTGCATTTCCCTTATGTCTAATGATGTTGAACATCTTGTCATACTTATTTGCATCATCTATTTCTTTTCTTTTTTTTTTTTTTTTTTTAAGAATTTTTAATATTTATTTTTTAGTTCTCGGCRGACACAACATCTTTGTTGGTATGTGGTGCTGAGGATCGAACCCGGTCGCACGCATACCAGGCGAGCGCGCTACCGCTTGAGCCACATCCCCAGCCCCTATTTCTTTTCTTATAAAGGTCTTTTGCCCTATTTTTTAAACTTTATTTTGAGATGATTATAGGTTCATGTTCTTTAAAATTCTAGTGCATTGTCTGTTTTGAGAGTTTTTTTATGTTCTGTGTAAAAGTCTTTTATCAGATAAGTGATACATAGATATACTCCCAATTTGCAGTTTTTCTTTATTAATTCTTTTAAGTGTCTTTGGATGAGCCCCAGATTGAACTTTAATATCATAAAATCTTAGAAGAGACCTGATGTTTTGTCATTTGGTGTATTTAAAACATTTTAAAATTCATGCTTAGTTTATAAAGTGAATTTTTCATGTTATGGTAATTTTTATTCTGAACTGCATATTGAGTCCCTTATGACCTTATTGTCTACTCTTTTTTTCTGTTCTCCTTCTCAGGCGAGGAGTTGTCTTTGGTCTCTGGAGTGCCTGTGCTTCTGTGGGCAATATTTTGGGAGCATGTCTAGCTTCATCTGTTCTACAGTATGGTTATGAGGTGGGTATTTTTTCAGATTTGTGTCTGTGTGTATATGTGTGTAAACATAAGCTTTTTTCCCCTTGTGCATATTCAAGACTGTGTAGAGCTGTGTCTGGGTAGGGCACAGCTTTTGTTAAAATTGAAAAAGCTTCCAGTGAATTAAAACACAAAATTTGCTGGGCATGATGGCTTATGCCTATAATCCCAGTGGCTCGGGAGGCTGAGGCAGGAGGATCTCAAGTTCAAGGCCAGGGTCAGTAACTTAGTGAGGCCCTAAGCAACTTAGCAAGTCCCTGTCTCAAAATAAAAAGGGCTGGGAATGCAGCTCAGTGATAAAGTACCCCTGGGTTAAATCCCCAGTAACCTGCCCTCCCCCCTGAAAACAAATTATTCATGGCAGATGAACCATAAAAAGAGTCTAAAGACTAGCACTAATTGAGAAAAAGTATTTGAAATCTATGATATGATAAAGGGCTAATCTCTTTGATACATAAAAATAGATCTTTGTAACCTATGTTACTAATCTCTCTTACATAAAGAACACTCACAAATTTTAAGGAAAACACCAAAATGATACAGAAAGAAAGATAAAGGATTTGAATAGATAGATGATGGAAAGGAAGTAGAAATAGCTTAAAAATGTATGAAAAAATATTCAACTTTTCTCATAGCTTATACATTCATTTAGTAAATATTTAAGTTCCTTGCTTTGCTGTAAGACACTGAAGAATATAGTATTGACCAAAAGGGGCAAAAATCTCCATCCTTGTGGAGCTTAGGTGTTAGTGGAGAAATGTAAATTACAACTACACCAATAAAAATGGAGGGAGAGAAAGATGAGTTGTGTTCCTGAGGCCATGAATAGATGGGCATTGCGACTGGAGAGTACAGAACCCCTTGAGGGGGTCGAGATGGCAATGTCTGTCAAAGTGGCAACTTGCAGTTCACCACCAGGAATTAATTGCTCAGGTGAATGTTGTTAGACATGTAAAAAAAGATGTATATACAAAGCTATTTTGGCATTTTTTGTAGTAGCCAAAGATTGAAAACAAAGTCAGCCAATAGAGAAATAGTTAAATTCTGATAAACCTGTTCAAAGGAGGACTTGGCAGCTATGAAGTAGTAGGTCAGGAAACTGCTGTTAGAGATCAGGCACTGGAAAGGTCTCAGGTAGTAAAAGGCAAAAAGCAGCATACATGATGCCATTTGTTAAAAAAAACAAGGAAGGGATTTGGGATATAGCTCAGTTGGTAGAGAGCTTGCCTTGCATGCATAAGGCCCTGGGTTCAATCCCCAGCACTGCAAAAATAAATAAATAAATATATGAACCCCCCCCCCAAAAAAAAAAAAAAAAACAAGGAAGAATCAATGAGTATATATGTATCAGCTTGTGGGTTTCTGAAACAATCTCTGAACAGTAAAAATTTAAAAAAATTTAAATGACAACAGTGTTGGGGCAATTGAAAGAATGAATGGATTGCAAGGTGTAGGAAAGAGGAATTTTTACTATTATTTTCTCTTGCTTGAATCATATGACTATATTTCCTACTCAAAAACCAAAATAATTAAAATTAAGTTGCCTTTTTAAAAAGTGGACTTTTTTTGGCAGTACTAGAGATTAAACTCGGGGGCACTCTCCTACTGAGCTACATCCCCAGCATTTTTTAAATTTTTATTTTGAGAAAGGATCTCACTAAATTGCTAAGGCTGGTCTTATTTGTGATCCTCCTGCCTCAGCCTCCCAGGTTGCTGGGATTACAATTGTGCACCAATAGTACTTAGAAAGTGGATAAATTTTTAAAGGCAACTCACCAGGAATTCTGGTCTAGTTAGAAGCCCATCCTCTGAACAGGCACCTTTATTCTAGTCTAATGCTTAGCTTTGCTCCTGGATTGTTCTGATTGGTTCAGATGGAAACTTCACTGTACCCCTGTGGTGTTCCCAGGCTTGACTTCTGGAAACATTGCTTTTATTTTGTAACTCACTTGTTGAAAAATTCAGATTATCTGTCTATATCAGGCTTCAGTCTCTTAAATAAATGCAGCCTGACTGTTGACTTTACATATTCTTTTTTTTTTTTTTTTTTTTTTTTTTTGTGATGCTGGGGATTGAACCCAGGCCTCGTGCGTGCAAGGCAAGCACTCTACCAACTGAGCTATATCCCCAACCTTCTTTACTTATTCTTTCTTAATTTTTTTGTGGTCCTGGGGATGGAACCTAGGGCCTCTCCCTCCTGCTTACTGCTGAGTTACACCCCCAGCTTGGCAGTTACTTTAATTTGGTGTCACCTTTCCAAGTCAGTTTTATTCCCTGTTATCCCCTCACAGAAGCCCTTGCCTTTGGTCATGCAGTGACTTTCCACCGTGTTCCCACCCTGTACCTTTGCTCTCCTTTGCCTGGAAAGATAGGACATTCATTGCTTTGACTTTCCACTCTTTCCTAAATTGTTGTCCAGCTGCTTCAACCTCTTTTTAGCTGCTTTCTCCATTTGAATTCTGTCTGTCTGTCTTCCTTTCTTCCTTTTGAAGTACTAGGAATTGAATGCCAGGGTGCTCTACCACTGAGTTACATCCTCAGTCCTTTCTTCTATTTTATTTTATTTTGAGACAGGGTTTTGCTAAGTTGCCCAGGCTGGCCTCAAACTTAAGATCTTCCAGTGACAGTCTCTGTTGCTGGGACCATAAGCATGTGCCACTGCCCCCATCCCTGTGTTTCTTGCTGGGGCTGGACTTCTCATTTATTTAGCTGCATGCTACCTTATAGTATTGTATTGTCTTACCGTAAGTGTTGTTTAATCCCCACACCTGGATGTAATGTCTTTGAGAACAGATACCGTGCCTTTTATGGGAGACTGGGTGATGCAAAAATTTTGAGAGCTAGTCTTGCTTTTATAATCCAATAGGGCGACTGAGTGTCTAAGGGGCCCTGTTGATCTTATGTGAGCTTTGTAGAGTCCTTGGGAAGATGAAAGGAGAAGTCACAAGTGGAACACTTGGCAGATCGCCTGGTGCTGAAGTCCTCCCTAGTCTCCCCCTCCTTCCTGCCCCACTCCTCTTTACCCTGCACTCATCTTTAAGGACTTGGTGATGACTGCCCTGTAAGAACCACCTCTTCCCTCTCGTTCAGTATGCCTTTCTGGTGACAGCGTCTGTGCAGTTTGCTGGTGGGATCGTCATCTTCTTTGGACTCCTGGTGTCACCAGAAGAAATTGGTGAGGAGAAGCTGTGTCTTTAATTAAAATGTCTTATTGTAAGAGGCAAAGGGAAATATGAGTCCAGAAATGGAATTTCTTTTTTTCCCTAGGAGAACTGTGAATTCCTCCCAGCAAAATAAAGGAGTACTGTTGGCATTTGTGTCTTGTTGGCATTGTCCCATTCATGGCATAACTGTGTGTTCAAATGAAGTGATACACACCTTTTATAGATGAGTCTTAGCATTTGAAAAACTTTTTTTTTTTGTAGCTCTGGGGATGGAACCCAGAGTTTTACTCAGGCCTTGGCAAGCGCTCTGCCACTGAGCTACATACCCAGCCTCCAGATGATTTTTATCATTGAGATATTGACTACGAATTAGCATGATTGTATTTCTTTACTTTTTTGTGTGTGTGGTTTTGGGGATTAAACCCAGAGCTTTTCACAAGCTAGGCAAGTACTCAACTACTGAGCTACATCCTCAGCCCTTTTTATTTTATTTTGAGAAATGTCTTATGAAGTCACCCAGGCTGGCCTCAATCTTTTGATCCGCCTACCTCAGTCTTCAGAGTAGCTGGGATTACAGGCATATGCCACCACCCCTGGCCGAAGTTGTTTCTTCTACACAATGGCAATAGAAATAACATCAGCTAGGTGCAATGGTGCACACTCATAACCCCAGGAATTCAGGAGGTTGAAGCAGGAGGATCACAAGTTTGAGGTTCACTAAGTTTAGCAACTTAGTGAGGCCCTGTCTCAAAATAGAAAAAAGGCTGAGGATGTAGCTCAGTGATAGTGCTCCCCTGAGCACCAATAAATAAGAAAAATATCAATCCCATAAGTGATGATATATGCAAACCCTTTGCACCATGCCAGGCACACATAGGTGCTCTGTAAATGGTGGTTTTTATTGTTGTTTTAGGTCTCCCAGGTATTGAAGCAGAAGAAAACTTTGAAGAAGATTCCCACAGACCGTTAATTAATGGTACTGAAAACGAAGATGAGTATGAGCCTAATTACTCTATCCAAGAGTCCAGAACTGTTGCCCAAGTGAAGGCGATAAGCTTCTATCAGGCTTGCTGTCTTCCTGGTGTCATACCGGTAAGAACTGTTCAAATCCCTTACCACAGCCAGTAAGGCCGTGTGGCCTTGAGATTTACTCTGCCTGGGATAAAGCTTTTTGAGTGTTTAGCTTCTCTTTGATAGCTTGGTTTTAGGAATGCATGTTCAGAGATATGTTGCRTAGTGTCCCTCAGCTTATCTTGTATCTGAAGTAGGATTGGCAGACCTTTTCCATGAAGAGTCAGAGTAAATATTTTTCAGCTCTGAGGGAACCATAAAATCTTCACTGACCTTCAGAGTTAAAAGGCCATAGACAGGATGGGTGTCGCCAGACTTGACCTACTAGCCCTGCTTGCAGACAGTCATCTGGCATGGGATTAAGAAAGCAAAATTGAGATTTTTTTTTTTTTTTTTTGGTACTAGGGATTGAACTCAGGGCTACTTGACCACTGAGCCACATCCCCATTCCTATTTTTATGTTATTTAGAGACAGGTCTGACTGAGTTGCTTAGCGCCTCACCATTACTGAGGCTGACTTTGATCTCGCTGTCTTCCTGTCTCAGCCTCCTGAGCTGCTGGGATTACAGGCATGTGCCACCACGCCCTGCTCAAAATTGAGATTTTTAAATTTGTATTTTATGGTTTATTGAGGTATATAGACTTACACACAGACCAAGAATGGTTTGAACGGCTTATTGACTGCCTTGTTTGCCTACATTCTAATCTTCCCAGGGGAAAAATTGCCCTTTTTTAGAAGGTCTAGAGCAGAATATGCCACAGTGTCTCTTGGGCAGCATTCCAGCGCTGCCCCAGCCCAGCAGTCAGGAGAGCTCCCTAATGCCTGACGGGCTCCCTCTTGCTGCAGTGGTGCTGTCTTGCGGTGCAGATGCTGAGGCTGGAGTGGAAACTGAGGCATAGGTGATGTTTCCAGCTTACCCACTCCCTTTCTGTGAGACCTGGGATAAGTCACTCAACCCACCCTCATGTCTAGTTCCCTCTCCAGTGGGATAGAGATTACCCCAGTCTTCCCTGGTGGCCAGGACATTGGGTTATTGTGTTGTGAACAAGCACCTGTTTTTTTGCCATTTTGTTTTTTAATGGTGCTTCATGAGTGTAACCCCCCCAGGTAGATTTAGTTCTACAGGACATCTTATTTTAGACTTCACAGTCCTGCCTGTGACCCCAAGGTAGGAAAACACTTAGAACAAATAGGTAATTAGGAGTTAAAATGTAAGTGTGATTTCTTGCAATTTTTAAACTCAAAGATTTTTTTTTTTTGTACCAGGGATTAAACTCGGGCATTCGACCCTTGAGCCATATCTTTAGCTCTATTGTGTATTTTATTTAGAGACAGGGTCTCAGTGAGTTTCTTAGCACCTCACTTGCTGAGACTCGCCTTGAACTTGTGATCCTCCTGCCTTAGCCTCCCGAGCTGCTGGGATAATAGGCGTGTCCACCGCGCCTGGCCAAAGATGTTTTTTAATATAAGGGAAATGCAAGTTCCTTTAGTCCTGTTCTTAGGGCAAGCTATAATCTTTCAACTAGATTCTAAAATATTCCACTAGTAAGAGTTTAATTTTTGAGACAGACTTTAAATTTGTTGTGACTGCACATTGAACTCTGCTGTTTCTTTGCACTCACCAGCCATTGTTCTCTGTCGAGGGTCGGGGTGTGAGGGAGGGGAGTTAACTTGGTGCCTTTGTCTTTAGCAGGCTGTCTGGACAGCATGCTCTGGTGACTGGGACATGGCTCTCTAGGGGTGGCTGCTGTCCTGCCAGGGGAGCTTTTTTAAAACAAGTGATACCCAGGGAATAACTGGCTGCCCCATGGCCAGGAGTGTACTGGCCAGACATCCTTTGAAGTCAGTCCCTCTGCTCCTCCCCCTTTCCTTTGATGCTAACTGACAGGATTTCCTGGTAATAATGTGTTGAATGTGGGAGTCTCAGCCCCCCCACCATCTTAAGGCAGCCGCAACTGCTTTCCCTCAAGACAGAGTGACAGGGCCTAGGACGAGCATGGTCTTCCTTTTCGACCCACCAGAGATGCTCTTCTCTGCCACTGGTGTGCAAATGCAGGGCTTTTGGAAGCTCTGATGTGAAAGTGGTTCTAATGAGGATGCTTTTCTTAGATCTTTGGCTCAGTCACATGCTCTCTGTGGTTCACAATATTAACTTTGCTGAAAGTAGAGTAACCAAGAAAGTAAGAGCTGTGATGGTTGCTATTTTTATTTGCCTGTGGCTAATGCTGGTCAGTGGCAAGAATATCATTCACCTTTATCCGAGTAAGGAAATAGAGGTCTGTGCCCTGCCTTCTGGATTCCAAACTCTGGTTTGCTTCTACCAGAGAACTTGGAGAAGCCAGGGATCGTTAAGAAAGAGCCACATACTATGTTTTTGGTTTTGTTTTTTATTCCAAAGGCCTTTCTGGAAGCTACCTGGAGTACGGAGAGAGGGAGACTGGGTATAAGTGGGCAGATGGGAATTTGTAAAGTTGCTTAATTTTTGAAGTCAGGCACCATTCATCCCAAGCTCTTATATTTTGCTGTGTTTTTTAATTACATTAAAAGCTGTGGTCATGTTGTGCCATGCTGTTTGTCCCTTGCTGATAGTTGTATGTTTTTCTTATAGTATTCACTGGCCTACGCCTGCCTGAAACTGGTGAATTACTCCTTCTTCTTCTGGTTGCCCTTTTATCTGAGTAACAACTTCAGATGGAAGGAGGCTGAAGCTGACCAGTTGTCCATCTGGTACGATGTTGGAGGAATCATAGGTATATGAAAGTGCATCTTCTTCCATAATAGTTAGTCACTAGTAGCCTTTTACTGGATTGTGGAGTCTGATTCCATTTAAAGTTTAATTACTCATTCTGTAACCATTTTTCCTAAACTGTCCTAACAGTGAACAAACTCTTAAAGATTATCCATAGGAAGGAAGATCCAACCCAAGGCAAGGCTGTGATTTAGAGGGCTCTCTTCTCTCAGTTTTTTGTTTAGGAGTCACTTCTTTTGTCTTGGGAAGTGCTTGAGATCTCTTTAAACACAATTCTTTTGTATACTTTCAGTGCTATCTTGGCTCTGTAGCTAATTGTGTGAGAGATTCAAGTTAGATGTGAATGTGTTCATTTTCACTGCCTCTCACCTTCTCCACTCCACCCCCCCCCCCCAGCCTAGGAAGCAGAAATAAAACCATGGTGTGTACATTGTCAGATCCTAGAGGTAGGGACAACAGCAGAAATTGATTTTTGTGTTTTATAATTGTTTCAGTGTGTACAACAGATTTTAACAGTGACTTTGTGCTATAGCCAACTTGAACAAGGAAGTAAACTCTTAAATAAGAAAGTTCAGTGGGTGTGACACATACATGGCTATGAGGTGGCACACACCTGTAATTCCAGCAGCCTGGGAGGCTGAGGCAGGAGGATTACAGCTTCAAAGTCAGCCTCAGCAATGTATCGAGGCCCTAAGCAACTTAGCAAGACTCTTTCTCTAAACAAAAAGTTAAAAAAAGGGCTGGGGATGTGGCTCAGTTTTAAGCGCTCCTGGATTCAATTCCTGGTACCCAAAACAAAAACAGAACAGAAACCTTAGGTATATGAAATTGCATCTTCTTCCATAATCCAGAAGCTCTCTACCATGGAGCTACAACACCAGGCCTTTTTAAATTTTATTTTGAGACAGGATCTCACTAAGTTGCCCAGGGTGGCCTTGAACTTGTGATCCTCCTGCCTCAGCTTCCCCAATCATTGGAATTACAGGCCTGCACCACCACAGCCAGTTAGACCTGACCATACTTTTGTGCCTTCTGAAATTAAAATTGCCTAGATGCCAGTCATATGATGGGGGTGTACCAGGTGTTCCATATCCCCTAAAACTCAAACTGGCATTTTATTTGAATGTGACAGTGTTACCCAAAGGAATCACATCACCTCCTGAGCCTCCTCACCTGTTTGTTCCTACTAAATCATAATTGCTGCATTTCATTTTAGTGAATTTTTGATTAGCACTGCTAGTAGCTTGTGAAGTGTGTCCTTCTTTGATCATCTTTTAAATTAAAAAGCTGGGGAAAAAAATCAAGAAAAGCACTCACAATTTGTTTTTGCAGGGAAAATAGTAAGTAAGAAATCATGGCTCGTTTTGTTGATTTTTCTTATCTTGATGTTGGATTTGTGGTGTCCTGTCCTCATCGACCATCATGCTGATTTAAGTCAGTTTATCTTCTAAAAGGAAATGGTGGTGTGGACTTTCGGGCAGAGCTGGTACCATTTTGGCTGGATCTGATAATTCTAGAGAGTATAGGCAGCCGAGCTCACAGCTGAAATGGTTGTGACTAGTGTCTCTTTGTTTGAAGGTGGGACTTTGCTAGGCTTCATCTCTGACATCCTACAGAAGAGAGCACCAGTATTGGCCCTTAGCCTGATCCTTGCAATTGGCTCCCTTGTTGGGTACAGTCGTGAGTATTCCTTACATTGTTTCCTAATCTCTGGGGAATAAGCATTTTCCTAGAGTAAGGGACCAGCCCTAGAAAGAGTCTGTGACCAGCTGAGGCATGATATGTCACCTTTGTATAGTCCCTTGAGTGCCGGGAAACACCGACATCAATGGTTTCATTTGTGTCGGGGGAAGCTGGCGTCTCTTGCCCGGCCGATTTGTTTAAAAGCTTGCCTGGGAGTATGTGTGCTTGTTTGAGGGGTGGCTCCAGAGGGACAGCATTAGAGCCAATAAAACAATAAAAGGGGTGAGGTTTCAAAAGCAGGAAGATGCTGATTAGTAGACGTGGGTATGTCCTCAGTGCTGTGGTGGTGGGGAGAGCTTTTCTCTAGCTTTTAAAAGTCTCATTAACTTGGGCACCAGCAAGAGGCAGACATTACAAATAAAAGTTGGAAAAGGCCTTGAAAGAACAGTCTCTCTTTGTGGCTCTGGGAGGGATTTGTGAGGTCATAAGATTCAGGCCTTTGTGTCCTCTTTGTAGATGCCCATGTCACTGCTTTTGTAGTCACTGTGGCGTGTCTGTGTCTCCTCACAGGTTCTCCAAATAATAAGTCCATCAATGCGCTTCTGATGACGGTTACAGGTACGGCGATGGCTCGGTTCACTGTGCTGTTCTTCTTTCTCTTAATCTGATTGCTACTAAAAGCTAGTTACAGGGAACTCAAGTGATAGAAAGGTGGCTCCTTTTCTAGATTCTAGTCTCTGCTCTAACTGGCTTTCTCAGTCCTTTTATGACAGAAGCAGTCCCTGCTGAGGCATTTTCTAAAAATTTTGATGTTGCCCACCTTTGGGTATGACTTCAGAAAGTGGCTGGGAAGACACCACATTGGAAACCGGTTTAGTCACCTGTACTATTGACATAAATTCTTTTTTGCCTGCTGTGTTTTTCTGTGTTTGGTTAAATTTAGGTGGTCAACTGATTGAATGACACAGCTCTGCCATAATAAAATTTGACGAGCTGGTGCCATTGGTTATTAAAGCAAATGTCACATGATTTGCTACATGTTTCTTTTCTGTGTATTTTCTATCAATACAGCAGAGTGTGACACAACTGAAGAACATCCCAGAGGAGTGGATGTTAGCAGTTTGAATATGATACTATCTGGGACTTTCCTTTTTCTTTCCATTCCTCTTTAACCTACTAATTACAGTGTCAGAATGATATTTTGCCCTATCCAATGGCTTGCTAGTGTTGATATGAATCATGTTTTAATAAGAACCTGTTCTGTTTTTGACTTCAGGGTTTTTTATTGGTGGACCTTCTAATATGATTAGCTCAGCTATTTCAGCGGACCTGGGTCGCCAAGAGCTGATCCAAGGGAGCAGTGAGGCTTTAGCCACGGTCACAGGAATTGTTGATGGAACCGGGAGCATTGGAGCTGCCGTGGGCCAGGTGAGAGAACAGAGATGGGTTGGGATTAAATGCTAAATCTTTCATGGCGAGTGAAAAGTGCCACTGTCTGGGCCACAGTAGGTGGCACTCTCGTGCTGTGGAATACTTGCTATGCCGAAGCCTGGGGTTTTCATCTCCTCTGTGGCCCAGCTGTTGTGAACTGATGCGGAAGGTCCTCTTCCTTTCTTAGTTTCTTCTTTCCATTTTTGCCTGCAGATTCTTCCTGTCTGCAAATAAACTAAGACTTCTTAAGATTGATCCTTCTGCCCCAGTCCACCACCCCCTTCTTCCTAGGCCAAACTTGGCGCTCCAAGTGGGGATGGTGTGAGACGCATGCATCTATTATCCCCATCTGCATACAGACCCCATTTTTCTCCTCTTTTTAGTGTCTCTCTTCTAAAAGCATACGTGTCCCTGTACATCTGTTCTTTACATGGGTCCCTGTCACATGGGACCCTGGACTCTGCAACTGCCTCTGAGGCACATTGTTTCCTGCATGCCCAGAAACCTGAATATTTCAGAGCGTGGTCCATAAGTGTCTTGTATCAGAATCATCTGGGATTCAGACACAGGGCTTACTGCAGGCTCCCTGTGGTGGGCCCAGGGCCTGTGTTTCCCTAGGCCTTTGTGGTGATTCTTATACAGGCTGACATTAGAGAGCCGTAAGCTAAGATTGGCTTACCATATGTAGTCAGAACTATTCAAATTGCCCCTTTTTGCTTAAATTCAGGCTTTCTTTCAGGAAGAGATATGTCATGAAACCTACCTCTCATGGGATATGGTAATTTTACAAAAATATGGATTTGGGGCTTGTCTCCATGGGTGAAATAGTTGAACCCATGGAAGTGGATGAGGCATTTACTGGGGAAAGAGAATGCAGGTGGATCCTCAGAGAATGCCCAGTGTCACATGCAGTCAAGGGAATAGCTTTTGAGTAGGTGTTGGTCAATAGGCCACAGATGTGGAAAGGTCAGGAGAAGCACTGAAGGACAGAGCTTCTTAGTGTGGACATTTAGAAGGTCACCAATAGCTTGGAAGTTTGCTAGCTTGCCTACTGTGGGGGCAGTGAGTTTCTGATCGCTGGTGGTAAATGAGAAAGTGGGTATAGAGGTAAATCATCTTACTGCTTGTCACCTTCCAGCCATGAAGTGTAGCTTATTGTTGACCTCCCTCTTGCCCACAAAGGTGGCATTTTAGATTGTATTCTTCTGTAGCCCCCATACCTAGCTGGTGCTTGGCACACACAATAGACTTATGGTATTTGCTAAGTTATCAAAGAAGGAATGCATGATGCAGTTGGCAAATTGCATGCTCAGCATATTTGGTTATAAGACTAGAAGGGGAAAAACCTTAGCAAGGTTTGGAGAATTATGTGATCATACTTTGGAGTAGAAATTTTAAAATGTTATTGGTTATCAGGTCAGACATCTAAATTTTTGGGATAAAGAATGACTGTATTGGGCTTCCTTTTCCCAATATACTTCTTCACTGATGTGTTCTTCATTAATTAAATAGGTGAATTATAATTGCATTTCAGGGAGTATACTTTTATTTAGAATATCTCACCTGCCAACGTTGAGATCCCTAACTGGACTGGGTCAGCATTAGACTGACCTCCATGGTCATGGAAGCATATCAGGAGTGAATCATAGTTAGCTGTGCTCATTCCTCCTCTGTGTTTGTGTGTGTGTGTGTGTGTGTTGCTGGGGATTGAACCCAGGGCCTTATGCGTGAGAGACAAGCACTGTACCCTAGCCTCCCTCCTCCATGTTGATTTCCAAAGGATGTCCCATTGCCTGAAATCACAAACTCTAGGACTTCAGATTCAAACTCTCTTAGCCTATCCCTCAGCCATTCCCCTGACTGCCCTGAGTAATATGGTTGCTGCCCCTTCTTCTATCTTCTCAAGAAAATAATTCATTGTTTACTCTTTCTGGTTGCCATAGCAGTGGATGCATACCTCCAGCAGAGCACTCAGCATCGTGCATCAACCTTTACTGGTTTGTCCATCTGTCCTCTGTACCAGGCTCTGTATTCCTGGGAACAAGGACTGTGTTTCATCCGTCTTTGTGTTTCCAGTGCTTAGCGCCGTTTGGACACATAACTGGGACTCAGTAAGATAAAGTTGTAGTACATGTCCAAGGGAAATGAGAACAGATCTCCACATTAAAACGTATACATAAACGTTCAGAAGCTTCATTATTCATAGAAGCTAAAAAGGAGAAACAACCCAAATGTCTATCAGCTGATGAATGGATAAACAGCAGTTAGAAAAGAATAATAGGTGAACCTCAAAAATATTATGCTGAGTCAGGCATAGTGGTGCATGCCTGTAGTCCCAGAGTCTCGGAAGGCTGAGGCAGGAGGATTGCGAGTTTGAGGCCAGCCTCAGCAACTTAGAAAGGCCCTAAGTGACTTAATGAGAATGTCTTAAAATACAAAATGAAAAGGGCTGGTATGTGGCTCAGTGGTTAAGTGCGTTCAATCCCCAGTACCAAAACACACACACACACACACACACACACACATATATATATTATGCTGATAGGGCCAGGGATGTAGCTTAGTAGTAGAGCACTTGCCTAGCATGCATGAGATTTTGGGTTCAATATCCAGTACTGAAAAAGAAAAGTGTGTCTGTCTGTCTTGTCTATCTATCTATATTTGTTATATTCATATGAGATGTCCATAATAGATAACTCTATTGGGAAAAAATTGGGTTGAGGGTTGTGTAGGTCTGGGTGGGATGGGGGAATGACTACTGATGGGTAAAAGTTTTTTTAGGGCTGATGATAATGTTGAAAAATTACATTTAGGCAAGATTGTACAACTCTGAAGATACACTAGAAACCGTTTAGTTTTATACTTTTAAAAGGTGAACTTTATGTTATGTAAATTACTTATTGACTATGCTGTTTTAAAAAAAAGATGAATTTGCTGGGCATGGTGGCTCATGCCTGTAATCCCAGTTACTCTGGGAGGATGAGGCAAGTTTGAGGCCACCTTGGCAACTTAGTGAGATCCTGTCTCAAAATGAAAAATGAAAAGGGCAGGGAATGCAGCTCAGTGTAGGGTACCCCTGGGGCCCATCCCTAGTACCTACCCACCCCACACAAAAGTTGCAGTCAGAGTGTTCAGATAGCCACTATGCTTCCTTTCACAGGTGATTAAACCTCTACTTTTTTGCTTTACATGTTGTAATCTAGGCTAATTGTTCTGCTTTAATTTTCCCACTTATAAAATTTAAACAGTATGTGATAAAAGCACACAGGTGACCCTCAAGTCTATGGTCAATCAGTTTTTGAGAAGGGTTCCAAGACAATTCAATGGGGGAAAGGATGCTCTCTTCAACAAATGGTATTGGGAAAACTGGATATCCTCTTGCAAAAGAGTGAAGTTGGATACTTACTTTGTCCTGTACAAATGTTAACTCAAAATGGATTAAAGACCAACCTTAAGAGCTAAGATTGTAAAACTCTTAGAAGAAAACACAGGGACAAATTTTCATGACAAGTATATACAGAATATTCTCAACATTCTTATTCATTAGGAAAATGCAAATCAAAAATACAGGAAGATATTTACCTATGACATGATTCTACATTTAGAACACCCCAAAATCTCCACCAGAAAACTCCTAGAACTCATAGACGAATTCAGCAAAGTAGCAGGATATAAAATTAACACCTGTAAATCAGTTGCATTTCTATTCACCAACAATGAATCAGCTGAAAGAGAAATTAGGAACAAAATCCCATTACAACAGCCTCCAAAACAAAGAAAACCCAAAAACCAAACCACAACAAAACTTGGAAATCAATCTAACAAAAAGGTAAAAAAACTTCTACAATGAAAACTACAGAACACTAAAGAAAGAAATTAAAGAAGACCTTAGAAGATGGAAAGATCTCCCAGAATCATGGATAGACAGAATTGATATTGTCAAAATGCCCATACTACCAAAAAAAAAAAAAAAAAAAAGCACTATACAGACTTAATGCAATTCCTATTAAAATTCCAATGACATTCTTCATAGAAATAGAAAAAGCAGTCATGAAATTCATTTGTAAAAACAAGAGTCCCAGAATAATCAAAGCAGTACTTAGTAAGAAAAGTAGGAAGCATCATAATACCAGACCTTAAATTATACTACAGAGCTATCATAAGAAAAACAGCATGGTATTGGCACCAAAACAGACATGAAGACCAATGGAACAGAACAGAAGACACAAAGACAAACCCACATAAATATAGTTATCTCATACTAGACAAGAGGCACCATAAACCTACATTGGAGAAAAGATAGCCTCTTCAACAAATGGTGTTGGGAAAACTGGAAATCCATGTGTAGCATAATAAAATTTAACCACTATCTCGTCCTGCACAAAAGTTAAAATAGATCAAGGACCTAGGCATTAGACCAGAGACCCAGTAGGCCCATCCAGCTTTCTAGCATTTTGGTTTAGGAACTGACTTCCTCAACAAGACATCTGAAGCACAAGTAAAATTGAGAATCAATAAATGGGATATCAAACTAAAAAGTTTCTTCACAGCAAAGGAAACAAAAATGTGAACAGAGAGCCTAAAGAATAGGAGAAAATCTTTGCAACCTGCACTTTAGATACAGCATTAATCTCCAGAATATATAAAGAACCCATAAAACTTAACACCCAAACCAAATCCCAATCAATAAATGGGCAAAGGAACCAAACAGGAACTTCACAGAAGAAGAAATATGAATAGGCAAAAAATATATGAAAAAATGTTCAACATCTCTAGTAATTAGAGAAATGCAAATTAAACCACACAGAGATTCCATCTCACTACAGTCAGATGGCAATTATCAAAAATGCAAGTAACAATGTTAGTGAGGATGTAGGGGGAAAGATTCACTTGTACGTTTGTAGTGGGACTGCAAATTGGTGCACTCACTCTGGAAAGTAGTACGGAGATTCCTCAGAAAACTTAGAATGGAACCACCATTTGACCCAGTCAGCCCACTCCTTGGATATACCCAAGCATGGAGTATATGCTTTAGTGACACAGCCCCATCAACATTTCTAGCAGCTCAAATCACCATAACTAAGCTATGGAACTAACCTTGGTGCTCTTCAACAGATGAATGGATAAAGAAAATGTGTTCTATATACACAATGAAATATTACTCAGGCTGGATATGGTGGTGCATGCCTGTAATCCCAGTGGCTTGGAAGGTTGAGTCAGGAGGATCCCTAGTTCAAAGGCAGCCTCAGCAAAAGTAAGGTACTAAGCAGCTCAGTGAGGCCCTGTATTAAATAAAATATGAAATAGGGCTAGAGATGTGGCTCAGTGATTGAATGCCCCTGAGTTCAATCCCTGGTACMAAAAAAAAAAAAAAAAAAAAAAGAAATATTAGCCATAAAAAGTGACTTTATGGCATTTGCTGGTAAGTGGATGGAACTGGAGACTACCATGCTAAGTGAAATAAGCCAGTCCCCCAAATCCAAAGGCCAAATGCCTGATATGCGGATGCTAATATACAACAAGGGGGCAAGGAATACAAGTTCATTCGATTAGACAAAGGAGGATTAGACAGGTAGGGAAGGGGAATGGGAATAGGAAAGACAGTAAAAGGAACTGGACATGACTTTCCTATGTTCTTATATGTATACATGACCGTGAAACTCCACATCATGTACAACCACAAGAATGGGAAGTTATACTCCATTTATGTCTAATATGTCAAAATACATTCCACTGTCATCACTGTCATGTATATCTAAAAAAAAAAAAAAATGCAAAGAAATGAAAAAACAGGGAGAGCCAGATGTGGTTCGCAAACCTGTGATCCTATCTCCTTGGGAGGCTAAGGTGGAAGGATTACAAGTTCCAGGCCAGCCTCAGCAACTTCATGAGGCCTCAGCAACTTAGACCCTGTCTCAAAACAAAAAATAAAAAAAGCTTAGTGGTAAAGCACCCCTGGATTCAATCCCCAGTACGAAAGCAACAGCAAAAATAACTATAAAACCCAGGGATGCAACTTTATGCCTGTGGGAAGCTGTAATAAGAAAATTATGAAATATCAAATGTTGGTGAGCATGTGGAGAAATCAGAGCCATGCATTGCTGGTGGGAATGTAAAAAAATAATAAATAAATATGGAATTATCATAAGGTCAAGCAATTCTACTCCTCAGTATTTCCCCCCCAAAATTAAACACAGGCACTCTGGTATTTGTATGCCAGCTCCTGTTTGTTGTATCATCATTCCTGATAGCTAAAGGGTGGGAACAGTCAAGGTATCTAACAGATGAGTGGATAAATAAAATGTGGTGTATCTGTACAGTGGAATGCTCTTCACCATAAAAGGAATAAAGTTCTGATACATGCTTACAACACGGTTGGACCTTGAAAATGCTGTGCTAGATGAAGTGAGCCGTACACAAAAGGACAAACATCTACAGTTAGGGAAATTCCTGGAGTCAGAAGGGGGCCATGAGGAATTACTTCTTAACAGGTACAAAATTTCTATTGGGTGATGAAACTTTTGGTAAAAGTGGTCATGGTTGCACAACATTGTGAATGTAACTGATGCCGCTGTTGCGTACACTTAGAAGTGGTTAAAACAACAACTCTTTTTTTTTTTTTTTGGCACCTGGGATTGAACTCAGGGGCACTGGACCACTGAGCCCCATCCAGCCCATTTTATTTAAAGACAGGGTCTCAGTGAGTAGCTTAGCACCTTGCTTTTGCTGAGGCTGGCTTTGAATTTGTAATCATCCTGCCTCAGCCTCCTCAGCCACCGGGATTACAGGTGTGCACCACCATGGCTGGTCTGAAACAGCAACTTTTATGTGAGACCCATTTTGTTGTAATCAAAAAAGAATGGATTAAATGCTATGAGAATCTTTAGTAATTGAATGTGAAATAAAAGAACATGCAGTAGAGAGTCGAGGAAGAGCAGCAGTCCTGTGTGAATGGCAGAGCTGAAAAGTGAGCAGCTCATGTAGAAGACAAAGCATTTTGAAAGCATGGATTGTTCCTTTCATTGGAAGACAGAATGCTTGAGTGAGAGTGGTTTGAGGATGTTCATCTTCCTCTCTGAATAGCAGAGTGAATAAAAATAAACCTGAATGTAACATCTTTTATACAGTTTTTGTATTTGCACCCTGAAAGCTTACAGAATGAACCATTAATAAAGCTTAAATGGGAACATGTCCGTGGAAGGGCTTTGTAAATGGGCATACAAACCCTAACTCCCTTCTGATTTTCTAAGATAGCTGTTAGTCTACTTTTTAGCTACTTCATTTTATTAATTTATTAAGAGTTATACTGTAATTCATTTCTCTTCCTTTTAGTATTTGGTGTCTTTAATCCAGGACAACTTAGGATGGATGTGGGTTTTCTACTTTTTCATTCTCATGGTAAGTGTATGCCTTTTTTTTTTTCATAAACTTGTCATTTTTCTTAGTAATTTTGTTTAGAGTATTTATTTAAGTCACTTTTTGAGAAATAGCAAAATTTCTGATTGCTTTTAAAGACCCTTTTGTGAAAAGTAATGTTTTATTAGTCAAAAATACACATTCTTTTCTCAAGGAGGAAAAGGGTCCTCAGTTTATCCTTGATCTGAGTCTAATGAGTATTGCCATTTATAATGCCAGATGAACAACAAGGGACTTACTTAAGATCTGCCAACCGTTAATCAGTGCACTCTTCTGGGTTGTTCTCTATCTGCTAAAATATAATTTGACATTTCTGAAGGAAATTACAGTGTGTGCCAAGCAACATAGAGTTAAAAAAGAAGCATTGATCTGATTAACACTGTCTTGTGTGCAGGTTCTGAATGATGAACATCTCTGGAGGAAATAGTAGTTACACCTTAGACACTTGGCTGGGATTTTGTACTCTCTGGGAAACAGCCAATATTGAAATAAGGCCTTGTGCTTTCAAAGTGATGAATAGGCGTGTTGCACACTCTGCCACACTATTGGTGGAATAGTGCACAAGACAGATCTACTTGAGAGTCTGGTGGTGGCCTTGTCCTCCAAGGATGCATGTAGTATCCTGTCCCTAGATCTGGGCCATCCTGATTGGAGGCATCCTTAGCCCCCCTAGGACCTGGGGTTGTCTTCTTGTCTGGCCCGAAGCCCTGGGATCGGCAACCCCAGGAAGCCTCTGGAGCTCTCTTTTATTTACCTCCTGGCTTCTGGAGATGGTGCCATATGACTGGTTCCATCCTTGGCCTCCCTGCTAAGTAAAGGGAGGTAGCTTCTGAAGAACCTGCTGGTGTGGTCATGCTGTTGTAGAAAAACAATTTCCATCAGTGAAACCCTGTTTTTTGCTGGGGCTGCAGCAAAAGTGTTTTGCTCTACCTAATGGAAATCCTTCACTTAAGTTATTTTTTTGATAGCTAATATGTCATTTAGTATGTTGTGATATTAACTGTAATTTTCAAAAGTCATTTTCTAATTCACTGAAGATTAAAATTATCTTTCTAAATAATCAAAACGAATGTAATTGTTCAGACCCATTGTTTATGTCCAAAACATGATGCTCTAACTGAAGTAAGTTGTCACTGCATATTTAATACTTTCTTCTCTTCACAGACTAGTTGTACAATTCTGTTTATCTCACCATTAATAGTGAGGGAAATAATCTCTCTTGTGCAAAGGAGACAAGCTCACATATTGAGTGAGTGACTGTGCCCACAAGAAAAAAAGAACAGTGGGAGACACGAGACTATAAGATCTTTTAATTCACTACATTTGGGGTTGTCTAAGAGCGCCAACATAACCTCGGCTTACCAGACCTCTTTCAACACTGCCAGCCCCCCTGGACACTGGCCAGGAGTGAAGACTGCATTATTTTTCTACACTATAGGAATTACTATTGATGATTTTTATCGTTATTTCATGAATGTACTGGACGGTGTATGAATCTTCCTGCATCCCTGTTGGCCCTTTGAGGTTTATGCCTTTAACCCTGGTATCATATTGGCCTTCGACCCTGTACTGCAGCCTCAAGAACTGATGAACAGGAGAGAGCTGCACATGGTTTGCATGGATAATGAATAAAAAGGATCATTGCATTTTGCTTTGGTAACAAGTTTGCAGAGAGTGGCTCACCTCTGAAGCATCAAAACTTGAAAAAGAGCTCCTGCAGGGTTGAGCTGCAAACCCATCATGGACTAAGAACACCTCTACCAGCTGAGCTGGGAAAGATGGCGCCACGTGCTTCTTGGCTCCGGCACTGTCTCAGAGTCGTTTGCTAAAGAAGCAGACTATCTCCCAATTATTGTCAACTTGTTCTGCCTCTTCATTCACAATTAGCTTTGACAACTGGAGGCCTTTTGTGATTTTGAGGACAATCAGGCACATTAGTTATCTTGAACATTCCATTGTGTAGTTCTCAACCCCAGATTTGCTGTCTGGGAACTTCAGGGCCCTCTGGGAAGCGAATCTGCTCAGCCCTATTTTTGGAGGATTGATCTCTGTCACTACTAGGTTCCTGGAGTTCCCTCAGCAGAAGACAGAATTAGAGGAAAATCCTGGAAGTGTTCCAGAAGCGTGAAGTGCGTGATGTTGACTCACGTTGATGGGTTTCTAGGTCTGAGGGGTGTTGTCTTTAGAAGAAGGTAGTGTATGTACTYAAGGCTGTGAATTCTATATTAATCRGTGTTTTAAGGTCACTATATGTATTTTAAATTATGTAAACAAACTAGGAGGAAAATGTGCAATTTTGAGGGATACCTAATTTGCTTTGAATTAGCAAATATTTTTCAATCTCTTGCTTTATACTTCAAAATGTGTGTGATGAAGTTGTTGATGATATTTAATCATGAGGATTTTTGATCACTTTATTGCTTGTTTACTGACATAAAAGGAAAATACAAAACACAGGAAGGAGAAATAAACCAACTTTTGTAGTAAATGTCTATCCATTTAGTTATTTAAGTCTCTTCCATGAGCTCTGTGTATTTTATTTTCTCTTTCTCTCTCTCTCCCCCACCCCTCTCTTCTCTCCCTCTCCCCTTTCCCTCTCCTCTCCCCTCTCTCCCTCTCCCCCTTTCTTTAATTGAACCCAGGGCCTTGTGCATAGTCATCAGCCACTGTACCCTAGCTACCTCCCCAGCTCAGCTCTGTGCCTTAGGTGTCCTGGTACTGAGTGGCACTGGTGTGCAGGTGCTGATCCTCCAGCCTTGCCTGGTCTTGGATGCCCGCTATGTGCTGGTTCCCAGTCTCGGATGCCCCCTATGTGCTGGTGGGCCTAATTCCGCTCAGGCTCTGTGGACACTTGCCCTCTCACTCTCTGGAAGAATGCTCATTCTGGATAAGTTGCCTAGTTGTAATTTAGGGACTGTCTAGATGAACCTGTTATTTTCATAGACCCTTTTACTCACATTTAACTCTGAGAGTTTCTTTTTCTCCCCAGCTCCTCAGCAGCAGGGTTTTATCTTTGTGTCCTGATGCCAGCCAGTGTTTTTTTACCAGTTTAACTTTAGGTGGGTGAGTGTTCTTTGACCCGTCTGTGGCCCCCTGAGCTGTACCTGAAATGAAATTATAAATAAAATAAATTTATGAACTATGTAATGTTATGAACGACCAATAAAAAAAAAAAAAAAGAAAAAAAAAAAAAATAAAATAAAATAAATGCTCAGCTTTGGAAGAAATGATGTATTGCCCTATGGGTGTATTTCCTTGTGTTCTAGTTCTGCCAATCTGGGTGAGAATTCACTTTAAGAAATGCCTAAGAGTTAACTTCACTCTCTTATTATTATTTTTCCCTGGAAGAAAAGGCCATAGTGAAAGCGCATCTGAAAATGCCTTCTCTGTCAATAATTTGAAAAAATGTAAGGCACAGTAGGAAACTTTTACACACTAAGATAAAGGATTGTTGGATGTGGGAAAAAAATTGCCTTCCAAGTTTCTCATGTTCTGGAAGTAAAAATGATAATTCAGATGATTTTTTTTTTTTTAACAGTGCTGGGGATTGAGCCTGGGATACTCTATCACTGAGCTAACCTCCTTCCCTTTTTAACTTTTTTATTTTGAGATAGGGTCTTGCCACGTTCCTAAGGCTAGCCTCAAATTTGTGATCTTCCTGAATATCTGGGATTACCAGTGGCCCACTGTACCTGGGAAAAATTCTTTAATTACATTTTAAGTTGGGCACAGTGTCCCATGCCTGTAATCCCAGCAGTCAGCAACATGGGAGCTAAGACAGAAGGATTGTAAATTCAAGGCCAACCTTAGCAATGCAGTAACACTCTGTCTCAAAAATAAAGTGGGCACTGTGGCACTCCCATAATCCCAGTGGTTCAGGAGGCTACAGCAGGAGGATCCCACATTTAAAGCCATTCTCAGCAACTTAGTGAGACCCTGTTTCAAAAAAAATAAAAAGGGTAGGGATGTGGCTCAGTGGTTAAGCCCCCAAGGGTTCAATCCCTGATACCCCCCCAAAAATAAAAAGGAATGGGGATATGGCTCTATGGTTGAGTGCCTAGCATGTGTGAGGCCTTGGATTCAACATCCAACACCACACCAACACACACACACACACACACACACACACACACACAGAGTAAAATACTAATTAAAAAAAAGAAGGGACAGAAATGGTCTGTCTTCTCCACCCGAGGCTCGTCTCCTGTCTACATAGGCTACTCTGCCAGTTGCCTGCATTAGTAGTTTTCATCATAAATCCTTTTAAGAGTCTGAAAGCCACTTACCTTCTCCCCAGATCAAAATTCACAAAAAGAGAAAATTTTATTGTTGGGTGCTCATGGGCCAAACTCAAAGTCCTTAGACAACAGAGACAGAAACTTTGGTCAGAGAATGGGAGCCTGGGGGAGGTTCTCCACAGTGCAGCTGTCACCTGTTTCTTTTTTAAAGTATTTTTTTAGTTGCAGTTGGACACAATACCTTTTTTTTTTTTTTTTTTTTTTTTTATGTAGTGCTAAGGATCGAACCCAGCGTCTCATGCTAGGCGAGCACATGCTAGGCGAGCACTCTGCCGCTGAGCCCCAACCCAGCCTCCATCACCTGTGTCTGAGTCTCCTGTTGCCTCTCCGTGAACTAATGTCAGACTGCTTAGCTCACGACTCACTGTAGTGGCCCTTTTCTTACCTCCTTGTCCTGACTTGCTCTTTCCTGTAATACCCCTTTTCACTCTCAGCATCCTGAATCTTCATTTTCCTTGAAGGCTGGCCAAACTGCCTAGTCTAAGAAGGCTTTCCTAACCAGCCCTCCAGGCCTCCCACTGCCCTTCCTTCCTCCGTGCTTACTTGGTGCTGCTGGTGTCTAATGCCCAACCCTCTTTTCTCCAAGCTTGAGGGCCTTGGTGGTTGGTCCTGGATATCCTTGCTCTTGTTGGAAAAAGTGGAAGGAACCTGGGAGTGGAGACTGGGCAAAACAGGCTGAGGGGGCCTGGACCCTGCGGATTGCTTTTTTACTTGTTTCCTTCAAGAGAAGGCCCTTCTGCAGTAGCTGTCCAGGCCATCAGACAGTTGCTCTGCTGTGGTTCCCAGTCCTAGTGACTTTGGGATCTAGGATGAGGAGAGTGAGTATGCAGGAATTTTTAAGGGAAACACCCTCCAACCATTGAAATGCAGAATCAAGCCATTGAGATGCAGCAAACACCATTGTAAACTTTGGCCCACGTCCTTGTAAAGTGCAGGAGATCTGGCAGGAAAGCTGGTGCAAAATTGTGCAGCTCCAGCCTGGATTCACCTCTAGTCCAGCCCCTCTGTAAATATTGGATCCCAGACCAAGTTGGGCTGCTCCTCACTCCTGAGACAGCCTACTTTCTCCCTTAAATATGTATCTGCCGCCTTAAATAAACCTATCTATGCCTTTGCCTAGCTTGTGCTGAAATTATTTTCTATTATACATGCCAAGAACCTCACTGGTCCTGGGTTGAGTTCTGCCTCTCCTCTGGGAACTCCTTGGACCCTTCTTTAAGAGACATCTCTTCTGCTGTGACAGTCTCCTTAGCAGCTCTGCTGCTCTCCTAGAGAGCTCGCAGTGGGGAGCAGGAAACTCAGTGATCCAGTGCAAACTCCCTGTTCCCGCTACACATTCCTTCTGTAGTCTTTCATGTTCTCTTCCTGCCCCCCAGTTCCCCTTGATACCTACCTTCTATTCATGCTGCTAGAGTGCCTGTTTCCTCTGGAACATTCTAGAGCCCATATCATAAGACCACACAGTCTGCCGCAGGCCGACTGGTTTTACTGCCTGATGGTGTTCTCTGGTTGTTCTTGGTTGTCACTTCCTCACCAGAGTCAGCACCAGGCCCTGGAACACATTTAATCAGGACAGCCATTCACTTTTCCCACCTTGCCTCTTTTGTTCCTTTAGATTGGATCTTAGTTATCCTCCTTTTTCTTTCCCTTAATTGCCCCAAGCATTTCTGGTGATAAAGTTTGTTTCAGCATGTATCTAGGGTAAGTCAGATGAAGTGTGAAACACTGAGGTTTATATATGCATGACCATGGATAGCAGATTCCTTAATATATGGGTATATATGTATATGTTACACAATATCTATAATTATATGTTATTAATAAGTAGCATTTTTAAAATGTATTTGATACTGGGGATTGCACTCAGGGCATTTAACCACTGAGCTACATCCCCAGCCCTTTTTATATTTTATTTAGAGACAGGGTCTCACTAAATTCCTGAGGCTGGCTTTGAACTTGGAATCCTCCTGCCTCAGCCTCTCAAACTGCTGGGATTACAGTTGTGCATCACCATGCCTGGCTTTAAGTGGCATTTTAGAAGCAAGTACATGTGTATAGGGCTGGGGATGTGGCTCAAGCGGGTAGAGCACTCGTCTGGCATGCATGCGGCCCAGGTTCAATCCTCAGCACCACATACAAACAAAGATGTTGTGTCCGCCGAAAACTAAAAAATAAATATTAAAAAAATTCTCTCTCTCCCTCTCCTTCCCTCCCCACCCCCTCTCTCTCTCTTAAAAAAAAAAAAAGTACATGTGTATATGTGAGCATATATATGCATTAATGTGGGTATGAAATATGATAATTACCTATAGTTACATATTTATAATTAAAAGATTTTTTTCACTGTGCTGGCAGTTAAAATGTGTATTATTTGAAAAATGTGTATGCTTAAAAAG